TTTTCCTTCCGTTTATCATTTTGAAAGAAAAATGATTTATTCAAAAAATTCAGGTGAATAATTACTTCGGTAAATAAAAGTTTTTCTAATAAAAACCGGGTACCTGTATACAGAAAAGGTATGATGAAAATCTTTACAATATAAGAGAAATGAAAAATGAGATAAAGTTATTGATTAATTGCCCATGAATTTACTTTTTTCCTGTTCTTCAGATTTTACGTTTTTTAGTCTGTTTGTATACTTTTCGCTAAATTTGATTTAATTTGCAAGGAAAACAATAAAGAGAATAAATAAAAAGAACGAAAAAGAAGAGAGCAACGACAGAGAATGGAAAATATTCTTAAAGGAAATTTTTGTTTTATTTTTATTTTTGAGAAACAACAAGCATTTTATTTCTTGTTTGTTTATTTATTTTCCTTAATGAGTTGTGGTTTTGTAGCATACCATAAGTACTTAACAAGTTGTTTAAAAAATAAAATGTTTGTATAATAGAGTATTTTCTCTAATAATCTCTTATTTTTGAATCATATAAAATATAAAATTTCTTGCATTATTTTGTGTAAATAGCAGTATATTACTAAATTTTTGAAAATTGTTATAATAAAGTCTAGTAAGCAATTATTTATACAACATAATTATTACGTACTGTTAGGTATTATGAAAGCTTTTGCAGTAAGACTACTAATGTTTTTTTTTCAAATCTAAGTTGTTCAAATCACCCTCCTTTTATTCTCAACATACTCTTTATAGCGGTAGAATTCAAACTTTAATTCAAATTTGAATACATATTTCAGATATGTCGTTCTTCTGAGAAAGTAAAAACTTTCAATTAAGTTGTATTAATAATTTAATTTTTTGATTTTTAATAATTTGGATACTATTTCTCTTAGCTTGAAACCGTTTACGTTAACATTGTAATATCTTATTTTGAATTAAACTAAACAAGTACATATATGCATTTGCCTTGCAATAAAGTGAATAAAAAATATTTTCGAAAATGGAGTTTACGTTATAATTAAAATAAAATTTAAGCAAATATAGTTAAATTATTCGGAGTGGAAATTAAAAGAGTTAATTCATAATAAGACTAAATATTGCATATATTATTCACATGTAGTAACCAAAATCAGTCGCGATCAATTTAATTATTAATCAAAAGACAGTCAATTTCTAAAAATAAAGGTTATTTTGATTATACTGGCCATATATTTGTTATGTTCCGTTAATGAAATCGAATAAAACTACAATTGAATTTCTTTGAATTTGATATCACTTAACCTTAAATAAATTGCTTGTCATTCAATTGTAATTATAATATTGAAGTACTTTAATTATTCTGATATTTTAATTGTATGTTAATTTTATCGGGTAGATTTCTTGCATTAGTCCTTATATTGTCATTTTGATCATTTTGAAAATTTAATGGCATTTTCAAGTATTCAACCTAATTTATTTAATTTTTAAACCAATATCCAATTATATTTTCGACAGTCGACATAATCATAATACAACAAGATGAACGGCACCATAACTGTAAACAAATGTACATACATTATGTTTGTAAGTACGCATGTAGCACAAATAAATTCCAATTTCACTCAATTTAATGTATCAACTATCATTTATACAGAATATACGAGTATTTTTATTGTACGTATATGTATTTATTTATAGATGAACAAAAATAAAATTAAGGATGATAAAAATTATACTGTTTTCATAAAATTTTAAGTACCTACCAGTTATACGATGAGTAGACACGGACATAATTGCATAGTTACGTTCTGAGTTTTTCTTTTGATAATTTTATCTTTTTTATGTTTTTTAATTACATTTTAAAGATATCAATACTTAAGTATATGTGATTGACAAAATGTCACCTATTGAAAGCATGCAAACATTGAAATTAATTCAAATTACATAGTACACGAAATACCAATAAAAAGACGAGTGAATATCAAAAAGACTTTTATGTTATTGTATTTTTTTTTTGCTGTTAAATGTAATTACTTCTTTGTCAAGTGCATTTTCAAGAAATTTAAAAAAATTTTAATTTAATTTATTTTTACTCAATTCGCCTTCTTTCCTTGCATGTTGGAAATTAAAGATTAAAATATTGAAGAATAGAAAATTGTAGAAAAAGGAAAAAGCGAAAATTTCCAAAGGAAAAAAGACTATTTAAAAAAAGTACTTTTTTTTCAGGCTTTGGCCATTAACGGCAACAAAAAACAGTCTTGGTATAATTTATTTCTCATCGAAGAGAGTAGAAATATTTTTTAAAATTTGGAACAATTTGAATACTAATCAATTTTGTCTTAAATGCTTAAAAACTTATTTTTAAATTTACAAATTGCATTTGTGTTCTACTAGATTGTTTTCATATGACAACTTTCTTTAATAAAAACTGTTGAAAATTTTATTTCAGACTCTTAACTTCTTTGTTCTTTTGCTTAAAAATTTAGATTTTGATTTAGATATAAAAAAAGCGGTGCGTTGATAAGCTCGTGGTGAGAAAATATGAAAATTCGGAAACTTATGTTGAATGATTTTACTTTCAGAAAATTGATCCACAACTCGAAACCAATACCTTGTTGATGTAGAATTTAATTGTTGATGTAGAATTGAATTTATATCGATTAAGTATTTAATAAGACTATTGATTTACTATGAATAATGTGCTTCTTTATTTAACCATATTAATTTGTTTAACGGTTTTTTAATTATACATCCGTTTTCTCCATATAATTAACTCGCAACTTAATACTTTGCAATTTCAGTTTTTGCTTTTTTTAATTTCTGTTGTTTTCGTGTTAATTTCAAATGAGAATATTGTGAATAAGTAATATACAAACATTTTAACATTTTTTTCTGTTTCACGTTTTTAATTTATGTAGTTATTCAATCTATAAGTGGAAAATGTCATATTTGTAAATGAAGATGTAAATTAAATAGATACATAATATTGTTCAGCTACATCAAGGGTTGCTTAAATTTTAAGAATTATGTTATCGTGTTCACGATAAAGTACATTTTAATGTCGGAAATAAACAATATAAGAATTATAATGTGTATATGAAGTACGAATACATAAAAGTTTGCTTGCGTAAGACTTTAAAATCAATGTTTGAATAAAAATGTAAGCTATTTGAATTTAAATTTCTAAGAGAGTGATAAAGACTTTTTTTATAGTGTAGGTAACATTTGATACCGACACACTTAACAGCCAGTTATTTTTATTTAAATCTTTTGCAATTTTAATTAGAAGTTAAGAAAATATGAAAACATTTTTGATATTTTGGCATGTTTTTTTAAGGGATTGGTAGTAGTTATTGTCAATAATTGTCAATAATGTTTTAAAAATTTTTATTTTTTAATATGAAAATTAAAATTTTTATAAAATAGTATTCACTTTATTGCCGTTAATAATATGTATCTATATTAGTAAAATTGAATTTCTATTACATACATGTATGTGCAAGGTATATATTATGTAGATAGAAATTACAATAATTATTTTCAATTTTTTTTTATGGTAACGAGATAAAAAATAAAACACAATATCCTTGTTATAAATTTAAGATAAATTTTTAGAATTTTATATTTGTACATAAAATTTTTATATTGTTACAATAGAAACTTTTTGCAATTATTAATGCCCCAAATACCAATTAATACTTGTGTATAACTCAATATTATTTATTTATTCCAATATAGTATATACAGTGACGATCAAAAAATTATAAAAATTTATTACTTATTCTATAAGAAAAATAATTTTTTTCTGAGACGGAAAACCATTATTAAAATAGAAGAAATTGAGTAAAATTTTATTCTCTAAAAATTTTTGAATGAAAATTCAAAAATTTTAGAAAATATAAATATAATTTTAGTTGATACAAAGCTTCCTGCAGCCATAAAAGTTCAGATTTACTCTTAATTTTTTTTGGTGCATATACATGAGGTGCACGAATCGTCATAGATCAGTAGTGTAGAAGATTATGTTCAGCCTACTTGATAGTATAATCTACTTGTTCATAATAAATTTCAATTTATAAAAGCACGAAGAATGGTTGAGATTTTGACTTCCGACTTACTGCAACCCAAGTACACACCGCTTCTTTTTTAGGGAGTACAAGCAATGAACATCTTCGTTTGTTTGAAGAAAAATCTTATGAACTTTAAAATTTATTAAATTTTTAAATTTTCTATAGCTATATACAATTTTTCTCAATTCATTTTCCCATTTTTGATCAATAGCATCATAATCACTTTCACATCAATATTTTTACATACAAAATGTTACCAAAAAATTTTGTTCCCAACTACAATTACTCATTTGTATATCATAATGGTGTTTTGTATATGTTTTCTCTAGGTGTATAAAAAATATTTTGATAAAAATGAATTAAATTAAAAAAATAAATATCTATAAGCGTACATACAAACCTACATTTATTTTCTATTGAAAATAAATAAAAAAAAAAATGCAATTTTTTTTATTTTCTTATTTCAAGGATTAAATTGTAAATTAAAATGACATATTCATTTATATAAAAAATAAAAACAAAAACAACAGTAAACAATAAGTAATTCACAATACAAATAAAAAATAAAGAAAAAAAAAATAAAATAAATTTTATATCATGCCCTTATACATTCATGTATGTGTAGGGTATAAGGGAGAATGCATTTTATTGTTATGATGCACATACTAACAAAATATTATATGCGTGTCGAATAGTGAATTGCATAAACTTTATAAGTATTTTTTCTACTTTGTTTTTTATTATTATTATTTATTTTATTGTGTATTCAACGATTTGAGTTTGGTACATGTGTTTCCCGGCGTGTGTATGTTTATGTATGCAAATATACATTTTTATATTGATTGCATTTTTATTACAATAAAATGAATAAACAAAATGATAAGAGAAGAACAAAAAAAAAACAAAAATCCAAATAAATTCACTTGATTTTTAAAAAATTCTCATACAATCAATCGTAACTTCAATTTGTAAAGATATTCGCGGCGTTGTAGTTTACGAGTATTATAATTGTTGTTCTATTATTACTGTGTAGTTTTGTTTTTTTGTTTTATTTATTTTGCATTTAATATAGTGTAATTGTTCTACTTTTTTATTTTATTTTTACTCTTATAATTTTATTAAAAAAAAAGATATTTTTTTTTTTTATATTTTTTTTTTTGCATTAAATTTTTATTTCAAAATTCAATTTCCTGGATTTTCACCATAAAGTAGATATTTGGCTTCAGTGGACAAAAATAAATTGGATTTCCAATTACAAATTTATATTCAAAATATTAAAAAAAAAAAAAGAGATGAAAATGTATTTTAATTTTTATTTTTAATAATTTTACATATTGGTTTTTTTTTTCTACATTTATTTTTGTTATCAGAAATCATTATATAATTTGCTTATTTGAATAATTTGTACATATAGACTGTATTATGCAAGTATATTATTATGCACATTATATAATGTTGGTTTATATAAAAATGTATTTTTTTCTACTTTAAAATATCAAAATAGGTATTTAAAGCTAAAGATCAAAACTACAGCAAAAAAAAGGACGAAAGCGTGAAAAATGAAATATTTTATGGTATTAGCTATTTTGTGGGCAAGTAATGGTATTTACGATTGCCAAAAAGTTGAACCACGTAGAGATGATGAGGTACGTAAATATTATTACTCTATTTTTTGCATATTTTAATTTGAACTCTAATGTATTGAATTTAGATAGCTAAAAAACTTTTTAATTTTTTTCTACATAGGACACTTGAAAATTAAGTTGAAAACATTGTTAAATTTTTGAACAAGTTTCAAACGGATCTTTGAATTTGTACGATTTTCCAATATAATCGGTTTTTTAAATTTAGTTCTGTTTCTTAACAAAATTATTTGGCGCTAACTAAAAACTGTATTATTCAACTTTTGTTGTTCTCTGGTAGTTTAATCCGTATTCAGTCAATGATTTTTTTAATGTTATAAATTTTTCATTATTTTTACACTTCTACTAGAAATTGTGTTTGAATAAATGTAAAAATTGTTAACTTTATTCATATTTAAGCAAAATTTATCAGTTGTGCTTGGATATTTATTGAAATGTAAGATATTTATAGTTTTATCGAGATCCTGCTAAATGGTTATCAATGCTAGTTATTCAGTTTCAAAAAAGTTAATAAAAAATACTTGAATTTTTAAGTTAAATGATTATTTCTTACCTACCGACATTAATTGATAATTGATAATCATAAATATTTCTATATATATGAGAATTTTTAATTAAGACATTAATTTTAATTAGATAGCCTTAAAAAACGATTAAAATAATTTTAAAAGTGTTTAAATACTTTTCTATTTCTAGAATTTTAGAATTTTAATAAAAAATTAAAGTTGTAATAAAAATACTCCTGTTCAAAAACTTGACTATTCGAAAAAAAAGAATGCTTAAATAAAAAGAAATTCTGATTTAATTATTTACATACATACATACATATATGTACATTTGATTTCGAAGAACACATTCTTTTGATTTCTTTTGATTTCGATGAACACATTCTTTAAAAGTAGGTACTATTATAAAACTTAAAATTTTTTTGAACTCCAATAGTTCTAAAATATGTATGTAGCATTGCAATACAAATCCATTGAATGCTTATAATTAAAGAATTTTACAAAATATTGAAAGTCCAATTTTCAAAATTAACATAGTGCTTCCATTATAATTTTCGATAATTATGGGTATATATGAATTCAAAACGGAAAAGAAACAAAGAATTTCTATTTTCTAAAATCTAAACTAAAGTTTAATTTTAAAATTTTCAAATTACAGTGACGAGGAAAATTTTTATTTTTGTGGCAAACCAAAAAATAAAAATGAATCAATCACACGAATACGAAGACTTTGAATATAATATGTGTACTTTACTTTAGTATTGTTTTTTTTTTGTTAGTGGTAAAATATAGGTGTACGGCATGTACAAAACTGTGCAAAATATGTCACAAATAAAAATGCATTAATATTGATAATTAAATAAATTGGATCTGATGAAATATGACCAAATCAATAGTTTGTAAAATATTGCATATTTTTAGGATGACCAAAACAAAAAAATTGAACGACGTTTTTTTGCTTTTATAGAAATTTGGAAAAATTTCACGAATTTCGAGAGGTGATAACTTGGAAGGACGGAATGGTAAAAAAATTTTTTCTTTGAAAGAAATAACCTCTTTTTAGCACTTTTCCAAAAAATTTTTTGAAAAAAGTGCTTATTAGTTTCACTCTGTCCGTCCGTCCGTCCGTCCGTCCGTCCGTCCGTCCGTCCGTCCGTCCGTCCGTCTGTCCGTCCGTCCGTCCGTCCGTCCGTCCGTGGACACTTTTTTTGTTTACAAAACTTCTACAGCCTTTAAGATAGAAAGCTGAAATTTCATACGTACATAGATCTTCACTAGAAACTTATTTCCGTAGAACAAAATTTTTACCTATCTCCCCCCCTCTAGAAGTTATACCCCCCCAAAACCCTAGAAATGGCCTTTTTTAAATATTTGTTGCAATGAAACCATAAGCATTTTTGAAATTTTGCAAACGCAGAAAGGCAGTAGCTTGCTTCCCCTAGCGCGATATGCTATAGTTAAACTTTAGAAAAACAAAATGGCCGTTCAAATTTACCGTTATCTAAAGTCCTTTTTTTCCTAATTTTTGATGTCATTTTTCTTCTAGACCCCAGCCTGTAGAAGCTTGAAATTTTAGGAGCTTTTAGACATTAACAAATAGTTCATTTCGTTAGAAGAAAATTTTTTTCCATCTCCACCCCCTCTCAAGTTATCACCTCTTGAAATTCGTAAAATTTGAATTTTTGACACCTTATATTTCCGAAACCGCAAGCTTTTCCAAATTTTTATAAACGCAAAAAGCTAACGGTAAATTCCATGAAATTAAAAAATATAATTATTTTTCTTAACTCACACAATTAACCCTTAAAATCGAGCATTATGTTAACCCCACTTTTTATTAATTTTTGCTTTATTTCAAACATTTCATATATGCGTCATCCTAAATATATGCAATTCTAGAAATAGTTTTGTATATGAATGAAAATAATTTTAATAGTGTGATAGGTATACATAGACTGTATTTAAAAGCAGAATTTTCACTTGTTGAAGGGAAAAGTGCTACAATACAAACCATTGGTTTGACCCAACTTTATTTTATGATAGTTATTGAAATGTTAAGCTTCTAAAACTTAGTGTCTAGTAGAAAAACGATGTAAAATTAAAAAAAAAAGAGTCGGTTTGGTCAACGAATCAAAAAGTGGAGTTTTTAGGATTAGGGGTTGTAACTTTTAAAGGATAGGTAAAAATTTTCTTCTATCTCAAGAAAATTACAGGTTTCCATCTTAAATAATCTAGAAGTTATATAAACAGATTTACGCACAAATAGATTAGAACTTAAAGAATATAGAAGTTTTGAAAATGGACCTTCACGCACAGATAACGACAGAGAGATAGTCCGTTCACAGAGTTAAACAATTAACAAATTTTCTTGATTTTTTTTACAAAAATACTAAAAATTTTTAAAATTTAATATCAAATGTTAAAAATTTCTCACATTTTTTCTCTTAAATGAAATTTGTAAATAGAAAATTATTTTTCCACCTCTGTTCATCTTATAATTTACGATTATGGAGCAAAATTTCATTTGAAAATTATATTTCCAAATAAAATGTATGAAAGAAATGTTGCCTTCTTGTTGATTTTGAATTAAGTTTTTATGATGGCTAAAAAAAAATAAAATTTCATTTTGTAATGAAAATTCAATTTCATAGTGTCCTAATCAAGTTTAGTTTCTGGTGGAAATTTAAAAATTTTGCTCATGGCAGATTCGATAAAATTCAATAAAAATGAATAAAATTTTTAAAATCCTCTTTATTATAAATTGAAATCAGATTTACTGTAAGAAAATCTGGTTTAATTGACATGTTTATGATGTTCAATTTTTTTTCATGATAGCTATTACCTATAAGGAAACAATATTTATAACCTACAAAACGTACAACAGTGTTATTATGAACAAAAGAATATAATATCAAATTTTGAATTTTGATTGGTGTCACTTGCCACTGCAAAAAATTTTTATTCTCTTTTTAAAACATTAAAAGAAAAAATTGAAATTCCTTTAATTTTTTTTTGTTTCTCTTTTCTGTTGTTATAATGTTCAATTTCTCTTTAAAATGTTGAAATTTCGTAATTAAAATGTATAACAAAGTAGTTACATGAATGTTTGTTAAAAAATTTTAAAAAGAAAATAATGGTAATATTCAACATACCTTCAAAATACTATAAACATACACACATACATATTTAGAATAGGATACACATACATACATACATATATTATGAACATAACTGATATATGCAAGTCATCATAGAACTGTAAAAGAAATAAAAGATATGCAAAGAAAGAAGTCAGTTGCAGGTTGCAACATTTAATTTACGATTTTTTGCTTCATAAAAGCACAGTAGACGACAGAGTAGACAAAGGGGGTAAAAAAATTTTGGAAAGATTTTTCTTTTATCATTTTTAAGTCAAAAAATTTTGTTTTACTTTGCTATTTTTGCATCCAATTTAAGTAATTTGTTTGTTATTTGAAAAAAAAAAATTTACTTTTTATTTTATACCTATTCGAATTTTTTTTAAACATATAATTTTTGTAATAAATACATACATATCCATTGCTATACACATACATATATTTGTATAAAACACATAAACAAGTTATTTTTTTTGGAAAATTAAAATTGAAATTGAACAATTTTCATGCTAATTTAGAATATTCTGATAAAAACTAATAATTTAAAAAAAGGAAGAAATTTTTTATTTTCGTATTTATTTGTAATACTCGTAAAAGAACAAAAATTTAAATGAAATAAATTTCTGAAATTTAATCAATTTAAAGATTTGAACTTTATTGCCTTTAATTATGTTGCCCAATTACCATAATTTTCTAATTAAGTTTTTACAATATAAAATATTAAAGATATATGGATTAGAGAGGAAAAGATATAATTATAACTTTTAAATTGGAACTGAATTTGTAAAATGCTACTCAATCAGTGAAGAATTACCAGTATAATGAAAAATGAAAGAATTTGATTTGACTAACAACTAAATCTTGAGCAAAATTATAAACCATTAATATTTGAATGAAAATGAAAATCATGTGTTCTAATTTCGAAATTAAAAAAATTTTCTAAAAGTAAAAATATAATAATTTATTTTTAATTTTTCAAAAGTCAGAAAAAATCGATCCAATATTAAGTTCTAATTTATATAGTAAAAAAATTCAGAATTTTTATTTTGTCACTAATATCATTCAAATAAAAAATTACTAACAAATTGAAAAAAAAAAAGAATTTTAACAAAATTAACTTGGAATCTATTTTTTCAGTATCCTCCACCAGAACTAATAAAAATTTTAAGACCTGTGCATGATTCATGCATTCAAAAAACTGGAGCAACAGAAGGTAAGTTAAACTTGTCATTAATTTAATATTTAAGTTCGAATATTTCAATATTATTAAATAATTGAAAAGTAATTTGAACATTTGAATATTTCAGAAAATAAGTGAAAAATAAATGAATGACTATACTCTATACTTTTAAATTAATCTGTTTTTCTTATTTCATGTCTTCGTTCAAAAACTTTTCAAATTTAGAGGCAATTAAACAGTTTAGTGATGGTGAAATTCATGATGATCCAAAACTAAAATGTTATATGTATTGTGTATTTGAGGAAACTGATGTTCTACATGATGATGGTGAGGTACATTTAGAAAAATTACTTGATTCTTTACCAGAGTCAATGCATATGATAGCAGTACAAATGGGAAAGAAATGCCTTTATCCTAAAGGTGAAAATTCATGCGAAAGAGCTTATTGGTTACATAAATGTTGGAAGACAGCGGATCCTAAAGTAAGTAACAAAATTTCACATAAAAATTTGTTTTAAATTTTAGTAGCTTAAGATTTTATAACAATTTTAATTTTGCCCTCTCTTTTATTTTTTACAGCATTATTTCTTGATTTAGAAATTAAACTGAATTTTCATTCTATGGATTATTTCGCTTGTATTGTTTTTTTTAAATTATTTTAAGTGCACATTAAATTGTTATTAAATTCATTGAAATAAACTCAGATGCTCATGGTAAAATAACAGACTTTTATAGTTTAGAAATCAACGTATGAACCGTTCGAAATAAATTTTTAGATTTTTTTCCTGTTCAAAGAAAGCCTTTGCATTATAGATAATAATATGCACATTATTTGGAAGTGTCTCTCTCAGTGGTTCGAACTCTCTAATATACAAAATATGTAGGTATAGTTTAATTGGAATTTTTGTTACTTTTGTTCCATTGTTCTAGTAGCTATTTACAAATTAGAAAATCTATCAAATTTTGCAGAATTATCTAAAAAAAATTATTTTTGTTTTCGTCTTTTATAATTGTCGTCAATAAAATAAATACCATAAGCGTCCATAAAACTGAGTAAAGTTAAAATCTATCAATATTTGATTCAAACCAGTTTAACATAAAAGTAAGAAGAAAAGGAAATTAAAAGGAGGAAAATATATTTTCAAGTGGGATCTAGATAAAATGAATATTATTGATTCTCTTCTGTTCCATTTTTCAACCATATTTTTAACCATATCAGTTTTATAATTCTTCTATTCATCTAACTCTTATGGTCATTGTTTTTCTCTCTTAATTTAATCCCCTCCTTTACTTATTTTACTGTCACACAAAAATTAATGCTCATCATTTCGATTTAAGTTTTTTTTTAACATCTAAAGTATTCAAAACAACAGTTAATGTTTGAATAATGTTTACACTGTTAGATGGCACTCTCTAACGAAGAGTTATCCTCTCAAGAGTAAATGAAACGTTTTAATTACATTCATTTGTCCTTCTGAATAAAGTAGTAGAGAAAATGGAAAAGGAAAAACGGAAAATTATGAGGCAAACTCAGAAAAGAAGATGTTTAAGCTAATAATACAGATATAAGAACAGGGTGTTTTATGTTATATGTCATTTGATAAATACAGTTTGTTAAAGTTATTTTATTTCTTTGGTTGGCTATTGGTTTGTTATAATTCGAAATTTTATTTGCAACCAAATTATTTGTAATCATTTGCTGCCAATATGTTTACTGCACTTTACAATTTCACATGTTAGTGTAGGTTGCAACTCCAGTTGCCAAAATAAAAGTCTTCAAATATAAAAATGGTGCCTACTTAACACTGATACTTAAACTTTTTTTGTCAATGAAACCATTGATGTTATTTACGTTTTAAGTTTTAGCAAATTACTAAAACTTTCTCAATGAGCAATCAAATGACAACAATAGTTTTCGTTTCTCATACAGCAACCTTTAGTATCGTTTTTATATCTCAAAGATTATAGGGAAGACGCGCATAACGTGTTGGCAAGTGGTCATACAAATTTTATAATCATGAATCTAGGTCTGAAGTATGTATATTGTTTTTCTGTAAATTAATTTTTAATTTTTTTGATGTACTTTTAATACTGTGATCAATAAAAAATAATTAATATTAAAATAATTCAAAAAATAAATTATTTTTTATAAGAAAATTTATTAAATAAGTTGTAAAACTTATAGCGGCCATTACAAGCAAGAAGGAACCATCGACACACAACCAATTATTAAGAGAAACACCTTATATTTTTATTTCAGAAAAAATGGATGAGAAAAGGAAGAAGAGTGAAAAGAATAATTAAACGGATTTACTGCTTAAGAGAGGGGAAATAAAAAAAAATTGTATTAAAAGAAGTGTGATCTATTCATCGATTTATTTCTCTGTGACAAAAAAAAAATAAAATTTAAAGACATATTGAGGTCAGGGTTTTTTTCCTAGTCTTTTTTTTTCTTAATTGCAATAACATAGATTAAAAAATATAATTTCAAAATTACTTTTTAAAACAAGTATTATCTCGGAAGCTTTAATAATTTTCAAAGGAAACTGCAATTATCTTATTTCTTTCTATTGAATTTGACTTGAATTCGAAACATTTATTTGAAGTATGGCAAGTAAATTTGATACTCTATCAATTATATGACCACATAATTCGTAATTGCGTTTTCCAGGATCTCTTTGCTTTGCTTTTCCTTAAAATATTTTTCCTTTCGATTTTTCTCTTAAAAGTTGTATATATATATACAATATATATGTACCTTTATTATTATTGTTTGGGTCTTATGTTGATTTTCTATGCTGATTTATTCCCATAAATAAAGTATTTTTCTTGCTTCCTAGTATACTTTGTTTTCGTTTAGACACCCTTAAAGCATCAATTTAATTAATATCCTCATAAATATTTTCCCTATTGTTTTCAGCATTTTTAATAAATGGTTAAACAATTTTGATATATTATTTTTATTACAATGGTGGTATATAAGATATAATAAGAAATATATTAGCATATGTTTATGGTTTAATATAATAATAAAGTCGGAATTATGATTGTAAAGGGTAGGTCAAAGCTATACAGTGGGATATTTTGAAAATAGCAGTTTTAAGAAACTTTAATAAATATTCAGTTCGTTAATTTTCTTTGAAGAATTTTCAAATCTAAAATGAGCAGGTTCCAAATTATTGTAAATAGGGCATTATTTTAGATTGGTGGTTGACAAATATTCGTGGTTAAGTAATATTAATATAATAGAATTGCCTTAATGAACGGTAATATTAAGTAAGTTCTAAAATTTAAAGAGATAAATATTAGAAAACAAGCTTTTACTTTATTAACTGGACATTTCATATTGACTGTTAGTATGACTTGTCGATATTCAATTTTATTTTAAAAATATCTTTCAGACTTATTTTATTTTAGACAAAATGGAAATAGAAATTTTATAAAAACTTTATTTAAAATCACTAAAGAGCTTAGAATATGAAATTAGATTTTTAGATTTTTTTTCGAATTGCTATTATTGCGTGAAAAGTACATGAATTATTTTCAATACAGGAAAAATACAATATGTGTAACTTCAATATAATGGCAGACGAAAATTAGAATTGAAACAAAAATTGTTCCATTCCTACTGGATTTCGACTTTCTATTTTCATTCTATTACTATTTTCTAATTGCACTTTATATTTACGGATCGACAAGCTGTATTTTATATTGTGTTAATTCTTCTTGAATATAATAATCAATTACTGTCACCATCTATTATTATTGTGAATTATTTATGGTGGTTTTGTTTCTTTTACTTGCCTACGTGATTAATTCAAAGTTCACCACGCATATAAGTGATCTCTATCGATTGCAACTTATAAAAATATAATTAGGTAAAGTGTGAGTCACAAAATAATTAAAGGATTTTTAGATTTAGAGTGTATTACAAAATATTATGGTAGCAAATATAAAAAAAAGCCCTTTGCCTGATTTAAAATATAAAATATCCTTTTTCTTATTTAATTAAATGACATAAATTAGAATATAATTAAAAATATTGAAGTCCCGTGCTATGCTTAAGATTTTTTCTAAAGAATGAAATGCCATAAATTAAATAAATTTTTCAATTATTTTAAAATTAGTTTAAAAACTTCTTGTGTAAATTATTTTTTCATTCAAATTAATTTTGTTACAATTTATGAATAATAATATAAAAAATTGGTTAGTCTCGACTTATTCTTATTTTAAGCACCTACCTATAAAAAATGTTAAATGTTTATGTTCTTTGTATGGGATATTTTTTCTTTTTGCATTAATTTTTAAAGTTTTCATCAAAAAATTCTATTAAAAACAATTTAATAAAAAAAAAAAAACACTTTTAACCCACAGCATAAGAAATAATTTTTTTGTTCTTCACATTTTCTATAAATTTTTTTCATCTATTGTACATGAAGAAAGTTGTTGACATACATTAATATAGTTTTAAATAGAACTAATTACAGAAAATACTCGTTATAAAAACTCCTAGAAGGTGAACTGAAACCTTTTTTCTTATTAAAACTATTTTAGTTTGGAAATAGATCAAGTGAATGATATTATGTAAATATTCCACTAGGTACATATGTCTAAGATTTCGAAGGGCTACTCTAAATTCTTTCTAATAAATTTGAATCCTTGCAGAGAAATATTCTTTTCCATTCTTGCTGCAAACTTTTTTCAGTTACATACCTTAAAATGAAGAAATTTTCATAGTTCTTTCGAAAAAGTTTTAAGAATCATAAAAATTAACTAAAAATTAGGTTTAATTTTTGTAGTATTAAAATTAAAGGGCTTCATATGTTTTGAAACTTATCTCGTTCCTAATATTATAAGCAATTTTCAGTATTCATTTTCTTTTCTTTCTCGCTTATAAATTTGTACGGCTTTTTCCATTCCAGTAGATTCCTGTTATTTGTATTCAGATTGATTATTTTAATTTTCCTTTTTAGTGAACGAATAAAATAGAATTTTATTGAGAACGACCTGTATTAAAATTTAAAAACTAAGTGCCAACCAAAAATGAGAAAAAAAAAATGAGAATTGAATGGTGGTTGCTTGTGTTCAAGATATGCCAAAAAAAGGCCAAAGAACAATAAATTATTTTAGAAAAATAATGCAAAACACAATCCAACACACAGCGATAATTTTACAAAAGAAAAGAAAAAAAAACTCTTTTATGTGACTAAACTTTATTTTATCGTCATATTATAAAAAAATAAGCTTCAAAAAAAAAGAGAGATAGGAAGATTAAAAACAAAAAAAAAAAAGAAAAACAACAAATTAAAATTATTACAGAGCAACGCTTTTTTTCTTTTTTAAAGGAATAGATTTCATTTTTTTTTTCGTAATTCAACGTTAACTACAGACAACACCGAAAGAGGCGAATAAAAAAAAAGTATTCATAAAACAAAGCCTAGACTATAAAATCAGTATCCTTCGAATACTTTTAAGACAAACATTTACAAAAAAAAATTGAGAAAAAAAAAGAAAACAACCAGAAGAAAAATGTGCAGAAACGGACAAAAAAATATATAAAATATTCCTTAGACCCTTTTATCTGCTGTTACTCATAAGATCTTCTGGTTCTGTCTTTCTTCTTTATTATATAAGGCTTCTTTTTCTTTTTGCCTTTTTTCATCGGTTAAGGCGAATATAAAGAAGCCATTTAAGCTAAAAATAAGAAAATGTTGGTAAAAAAAGAAAACGTGGAAAAGGGATATACAAAAAATTGTTTTTGTTCCTTTATACCACTTTTTTATGAAATTTTTTTTGTATAATGTAGGAGTTAGCAAAAAAAAATTGCTGTCATAATTTTCTTAAAGAAAAAAAAATATATAAACGGTTTAAGAAAATATTATGAGGTTATCCTTTACTCAGTGGCGTATTTTAAAAAAAATAATTCTCTAACATATTAAAATTAGTTCGTATGACTATGTTCTTCTATAAACTAATTGAGGTATTCATAATTCTTAGAAAATTGATTCTAGATTTCCATATAGGTCTGAATTAAACTTGAATAAAATGAATCTACTTGAGAAGAAAATTGTGCAAATATATTTTTGTCCAAGGGAAATTTATATTGATCAAGTCTAACAAATTTTAAGAGTTTTTAAATTGAGAAAAGTTTTATTAAAATAAGAGCAATATTTTTTTGAATTTTGTAATTGAATTATTTAGTTATTTATGTTATCTATTCTTTTGCAATATATTCAATTGAACAATTAGATCCGTATGTAAGTGCTACTAAGAAGTTAATTTTTATCGTACAATAAAGCGTTAGTATAGTGCAATATGTCTCTGGTATTAAAGTTTAGCTTTAAAGTTAAAATATAGTTTGTTTTATCAGTTATCATATCATAGAACAAATATCAGTTGTCATTATCAAAAAACAAATTAATTGTTAATATAATAGTGGAATTTTCTCTAAATAAAATGTATAAATACGTCTCTGGAATAAAATATCTTACACAATAATAATCAATTCATGCATCTATACCACACAATATAATATAAATTTACATACGTATACACCTAAAAATAATAATATATTCATATAACATATACATGTTTATATGATGATACAGATAATATTATGTTTTATAGAAAATCATAATTCAAAATAACATAAAGCAAAAATTTTATGATACCTTAAGAGATAAAAGTTAAACATAAAAAACATATGCTATTGAATGCCTAAAATGAAACCATAGTATGAAATAACATAAATTATAAGACAACACAAAAAAAAAAAATCAGGAATATTTTTGTAAATGTACAGATACACATGTGCATATACATATATATACATACATTATAAACACGTATCTTTTAACTTTTGCTTGTCTTGTAAAAAAATATGTTTTTTTTTTTTGTGCTCCTATATATCATATATAAAGTTTTACTATCATGATATATTTATAATATAAAATACTGAAAATGAATTTGTTTATACATTTTTTATTGTTTTTCTTTGTTTTCTGTTTCTTTTTCCACTTTTATCTGATTGTTTCAAAAATGTGAGCCATTATCAATATTTTGAAATTTTCACAATAACAGTTTAGAGATACCATACCTCCTTCTTTAATTTTGAGCTACCTGTTTACATAGTTGTTGGTAAGAAAATATTTTTTTTTGAGTCGTTGAACAAATAATAACCAAATTCATTAAATTTTAGTTTTACATTGGAAACTCCTTATAGCTGTTTTTAATATTTGAATGTTTTTATTCGCTTATAAATAATGCCATTTTGATTTCCCTAAAATTGATAAATGCAAATTGAAGCTCAAACATCAAATCTTTTTAAAAATTAAATTTATTTTGAATTTTAATTTTTATTTTAAACCCAACATTTAAATTTATTTGTATCAAAATTAATAAATGACATCAATGTTGAAAATTTTTCAAATGTATATATGATTGCTGTAATTTCAAATCTTGTCAGCATTTAAATGTATAGAAATTATTTTTTTCTAAAAATATTAAGAGTCCAAAAGGTACGAAGGCTTGGAACGAAATTTAACAAAATATTACAATAGTTTTTATTACTGTCACAATATCAAAATTTTAGTTTTTCTTTTTATATTAAAAAAGTATTAATATTTATTTTCAAATTGCAATCTCAATTTATGCAATCAGTCTTATTTTAATTTATTTCCACAAACATTTTTTACAATTCCTTCAAAAATAGGCTTAAAATTTTTTTCTAAATTTATAAAGATTCGACGGAAATATAAGTGAAACTGAAATTTAAAGTAAAAGTCCTCGATATCTAAATTGAGGTGTATAATTAACACAGTCTATTGTGTACATAAATTCAATCAGTAAAAATGAAAATCCTTGAACTAAATTTCATATTCAATTCATCAAAAAGTTTTGCTTTAATTTATATTGATCTGCGAGAATTTTCAATTTAGACTTTTTCAATAACAGCTTGGTCAGAATGTAATATTACCATTCCAACATTATAGTACAAAACTTAATTTTAATTTATGAGGAATTCAATTTGATTCTTCTCAATATCTGAATTTTAATCATGACAACCAATTCCTATTGCAGACTGTTAGTTTTACCGAATTTTAAAAAATTATATTTTATTATAAATATTTAAAATTCGAAAAGCGTTTGAACTCAATTGAATTTTTTAAGAAAAAATTAAATTTAAAACATTAATTTCGAATTCATATGGATTAGACTTTCAATTTGCTAGGAGAAAATTCTTCCCTTTGTAACTTAAGTTTATTAAATGTTATGGTAACTTTCGTTTTCAAGGAATTTACAGTTCACTATATTTCAATAAAATTCTATACATAAACACAAAAATTATACACTCACACACATACACACTAAATATAAAATATTCATATAAGATTTACATAGTCTTTTTGACGCATTGTTTTAACACAATTTTTGCATAAAAAAGATTTTTATTTTTTAATATTATTAACAAGGAAAAATAAGAAAGAAATATCAAAGTGAAAGTATAAAAGACTCAAAAAAAAAAAATCCACTTAAAAGTTTCACCATCTTAAAATATTCATTCGTTTATTTCATACTTAAAAAAAATCAAGCAATACCATAAATTAAGATGATTTTTTGGTGAGTGGAGAGTGGAGAGTCAGTACCTTCAGAGATATTTTAAAAGGAAGAACTAAAACAGAATGAAAACAAAAAAAAAATTTGTTGAAATAAAGTGAAGAACATCACTGAGAAAGGAAAACTTTTTCACTGTATTAAAAGGGAAAATTTCGTTTCTTTATGATTTTTTTTTTAGTAAGAATTAAGACGAAATTAATATGATGACGATAAGAAAGAAAAACGATAAAAATGAAAAACACTGACAATTTATTTTTATTTTTTATTTTTCCTTTACTTTTGCAATGAAAACAATTAGGTACCCTTATAATAATGAAAACTGATTACAATGGTTTTAGAGAGCGAAGAGCACCAAAATAAACAAAAACCAAAAAGAAAAGAAAAAGGTCAGAAAATTAATAAAAAATTTATCGTTCTAGCTATAAGAAAAATATTGTTTTTTTTTGAGTACATATTTCATTGCTTTATGTCTGCGCATTGTTTAACTACAATATAAACTGTTATGCTAATAAAAAGTAAAGGAAAAAAAACTTACCACCACGAACTTCGCATGTTAGAACAATATTGTCGCCTTCTAATAATGGACCAACAGCTCCAGCAACATCACGTCCTGAAGCATCATAAACTAATATTTGATGTGGAGGAACTGAAAATAAAAAAAAAGAGAAGAATAAATTGGTTAAAGGATTTAAAATAAGTATTCTTTTCAGCAATTTAATGTACAATAAAAATCTAAAAGTCCTTGGGTTAAAGTTATTTATTATATTATTTTTCAGAATAGTAAAGTCAAGTACTAGCATGTATTTTTGGGAATAACATTTGATAAGATTATATTATTTTCTTACACAAGCTGTAAAATTTCCTTACATTTAATATTACATAATTTACATAATTTTAATATCACATAATTTTATTCAAATTCAGTCATACCGTAAGTAAGGTTATTTTATGATTTTTGGTAATTTTAATTTAATAATTAATATTTTTTTTCACTTAAAATGTTTGGATTATTTTATATTCAGGCATCAATGGTTAATTCTGTCTGGTCGTCCATTTGCCCTTACGTCTGTTTATTATAACGAATTTTTTTTTTTCAAATAGCGACACGCTTTTCGGCTTGAGCTCGAGTTAAAAGAAAATGTTGAAATTTTTACTATTACTCACATTTCTACTTTTAAGTGCGTAAACATTTAAAATGAATGAATGTTGATTTCTTTTATATTCGATGTTAATTTTCATCATTTTGAAAATTCTGAAATAATTTCCCACTTAACATTAATATTGTGAAAAATAATATGCCTTACATTTATTTCTAATACTGCTTTTCATATAGTTAATATTGCATATTTTTAGGGGAACAGGTATATTATGTACTTCAATTCTTAAAACTAACTTTAATTTCATTTGTAAGAAAAAACTTGTTGTAAATGCTATTATATTGGTTGGTTGGTTGGTTAGAGTGGCCGGTGCGACCCGACTGGCCAACACCCCAATTAGCACTGACGTGCCGTTTTGCTACCACCGCCTCGTGAAACCCGGTTGTCAAAGTACGTTGGTCCAGGGCCAGCGATCAGAGCCACCCCGTTCTTTTAAGGAACTTATTTACGTCCCCGATACTTTTACTAGAAATGTTCCCCAGTTCCATTATGTCCGTTTCCCCAAATGACAACAACCTGGCCCTTTGAAGAGCCGGACACTCGCAGAGATAGTGAAAAAGCGTCTCTTTTTTGTCTTCCCGACAACTGCGGCATGACGTATTAAAGGGAATTCCCAGCCTAGCTGCATGATCCCCCACAGGCCAATGCCTCGTGTACACAGCCACTAACTTAGCTATGTCCGGTCGAGGCATCGCCAGGAGGCTCATTGATTTCTTATGGTCGTATTTCGGCCACGTCTTCCTAGCCGTTGCACATGTGCTCAGGCCCCTCCACCTGCGGTCCGCACATGCCACTTGGAAGCGGTATATATCAGTTTTGATGGTGTTTATAGGGACAAGAACTCGCTCGGCCCTGGAGCCGTCCAATGCCGACCCACATCTGGCCAGCTCGTCAGCCCGCTCGTTTCCTGGTATGTTCCTATGTCCCGGAACCCAGAGTAAGGCGATACTATGATGACTGCACAATCTCGTCAGCTCATCGTAACAAAGTCCTACCAACTTTGAGAATATCCTTGGCGAATTTAGAGCCAGAATCGCAGCCTGACTATCCGTCACAATTGCGACCTCCCGGGCCACAACCAAATCCCTTCCCAGGATTTCGCATGCCTTCCATATGGCGAATACTTCCGCCTGGAACACGCTTGATCTGTCGGGAAGGCGATATGACTCCGATATGTTCTGAGTTTCTGAAAATACTCCAGCACCGACCCCATTCCTATCCTTGGAACCGTCAGTGAAGAGAGCAACATCAAAGCCTTGCAGTGGAAGATTTCTTTTCCACTGCCCTCGAGACGGAAGCTCAACCCGAAACTTCTTGTCAAGCTCAAGTCTAGGGATGCAATAGTCTGTAGCATCCGCAACCACTCCGTCCGGTAGTGACTGAAGGACATTGCCGTGGCCATACGGCCTTTCGTGCCAGCACTCAGCTTCTCTGAGTCTAACGGCGCTTGCCGCGGCCAGATTCTTAATATGGATGTCTGGTGGAAGCAAATGGAGGAGTACATCCATAGCGTCCGTGGGCGTCGATCTCAATGCCCCCGTAATGCTTATGCATGCAGCCCTCTGTACCCTACCGATCTTGGTACAGTTGTAAGCTTTCCCCAACGCCGGCCACCACACGAGTGAACCGTAAGTTAATATAGGTCGTACAATGGCCGTGTATAACCATAAAACCATTCTAGGTTTCAGCCCCCACCTCCTGCCGACCATCTTTTTGCAGGTGTAAAGTGCCGTACAGGCCCTGTTCACCCTCTCTTGCACGTTAAGCTTCCAGTTAAGTTTAGAGTCGAGTATGACTCCCAAATACTTAACAACAAGCCACAAAAGTGGCGAAATCACCCCACCTTGGGGCGTTCCCCTACTAATGTACCTTGCGACATATAATGCTATTATATAATAAATATATATAGAATAATATATATATATATATATATATATATATATATAAAATGCACATAAAGTTCCATACTTCGCAACCGTAATCACTTTTTCCATAAGTTTTTTTTTATTTTTAATTTATTTTCATTACTATCCAAGCAATTATAAAAAGCAAGTAATAAAACTGAGAACTCAATTATTTTACATTCAATTACAAAGTTATTACAAATATGTTAAACTTTTAAAGTGTTTTAAACCAACAACAATTTCTTTTTTTTTTTACCTTTACGTACACTTATAACAATTTAAAAAGTTAATCACGTAATTTCTTGAAAATTTAATTTTTAATTGGACATGAAAATATTTTGTTTTTTAATTTTGTGTGTGTGAGTGTGTGTAGGGAAGACATTATTTTGTATAAAAAAAGTTATAAAATTTGAAAAGGAAAAAAAAAATGGTTACAAGTGCAAAAATATTTCATGAAATTTTTTTACACATTTGTATGTGTAGGAAAATCGATATGGAATTTAGATTATCAATAAATTACTTAACAATATGGGAAGAAATTCAACTTGATTAAAAGAATTTAAAAAAAAATTCTTTTCTTCAATAATTAAGCTTTAAGCTTATTTTTTAAACTTAGTTTAATCTACTCACAAAATATACCTTGGTAAAAATTTTTGTTCGAAGGAGGCAACAGAAAAATAAGTACCTTAAAATTTTGGCATTAATAGTGCGTTCTATGATTTTAAAATCATTATGCTTTTGCAGTCGCAAGGAGTTTCCTGAATATTTAAAATTGTTTGCATAATAATAATAAACAATGATGATTCAACTATAATTTTCCGTAGCGTCCAACTTTTACTACTCGTATAACTGTATTTATAAAACGAAATTATTCTAGAAATTGAGATGCAATAAGAAAGAAAATTTCATTTCTCCGTACCATTTAAATATTTAAAATAGTATTGAACCGTAAAATCGATCGGAAGTTCAAACAGAAGGAAAAACTTTAGTTCAAAGAGGAAACTAATTAAGTTTTTCTTTTATGATGTGGTTTTTTTTATTTTCTCTCTTTCTCTCTTTATTTTTAATAGTTTTGATTTGTAATTAAGTTCGTGAATTTTCTTTGAAAGACACTTTAGAAAATTGCATAAGTTTTTATAAGTAAAATTGTTATAAAAACAGTTAGAAATCGTTGAATTGCAAATCGAAATGGAAATGAAATACTTTACGTTTTTTTCTTTTATTTTTTTTTTTATTTTAGATTATTTTCTTGTTTTTGGTTTGGCATAATTTGCATTTGTGAATTCCATTTTCTCGAATTTTCATTTGGATTAAATTCAATAATGACCGACTTAAGTTTATATAAGAGCGCTGAGGTTAAAAAAAGAACAAAAAAAAAAGATTTAATTTTACAAGCATTTTGTTTTCCGCATAATTTATTAAAAACCTTTAAAAAATTTTAATGGCACCATTTGTACTTAAAAAATAAAAATTAACAAAAAATGCTTTAGGTTTAAAAGTATAAAGCAAATTAATTTATTTTAATTTCAATCAGATTGTGAGAGAGGAGTTAAGTAAGTTTTTCTAATATGACATATGAATAATTTTCTAATAGAACAGATTAAATTTAGAAAATATTGCAAGTGTAGATACTTTTGAAAAATTTTGATCATATTTTTGTAATTTAATTGTATTGATTTTAAAATACGCGGTTGTTGTAAAAGTAAAAATTGGTCTTTTTAATTATTTTATATTGAACAATTTTAAATTCGGAAAAACATAAAATGCTATAATTTTTTTATCCGGGAATATTTGAAATTTTCAAACAAGAGAATATTGTTCTAGGGTGAATTGCATATTATAGGTCTATTTTAAAATTTAGTAAATGCACAAATGTACGGGAGTATTGATTTAATCTTTTTTTGAATAATGAATGAGCGAAGTGTTATCATATATATATTTAATAACTATAAAGTTTTTAATTAAATATTAATTTTTTATATAATAAAATACAATTGAATAATAAAAAATTTAAAATAATAATTATGAAAACATTTGCACAAACAAATTATTATTAATATTAACATAGGTGTTTTTATTAAAATTCATTTCTACAAAATTCCGAAAATATTCTATTTTGTTTAAGGTATAAGGTTCTATATCGGGTTTATAAAAAAATGTAAATATGTTCCAACAAAAAACAATTCAAAATTCAATTTTACATATTAATTTTAGAAAATTTCCATTACGAGTAAACGAAAAAAAAATATTGTTCTATGCCGTTTTTCCTCAAATTTTTCCGGGAAAAATCAAAAACTTATTGATTTCATTAGATTTAGATTTGTTTTTGTTTTTGTGTTTTGCTATCCTACAACCTTATAAAATTAAACAGCATTTTGAAATACCAAATTTTTAAATCTAAAAATTTTATTTTTCGAGAATGAGGAAGAAAAATTGTAAATCTTATTAAAAATATTTAATTAAATATTTTCTTTAAGCATTATAAAGAACAATGTATGCCTAACATAGAATTATAAAAAAAAATTAATTTCATTTTGTTTTTGTGAAAAGTTCTACGTTAAATTTTATTTTTGTTATTACAGCTAAATTACAGTTATTACAGCCACCTGCAAAAATATCTCGAAACCTATAATTCTCAACCTACTCGAATTTAATTTTTCAAAAATTAAGAATTAATCATTTTACAATAAAAATATTTTCAAAATTATCATTTATATACTCTTAAATTCATGGAACTCTCATGTTTGTATCATTTCCCGCATTTTTAATTTTACAATTCAATTATGTGTACTGAATGAAATAATTTTCTTTTGTATTCAACATTTTAAAAATAAAAATGCTGTCTTACAAAATAATCCCAAATTTCATAAAATTATTGTTATATATATGTATGAGCTTATATACGTTCTGTAATATCACGTGGATATACATGTTTTTTTGTTAAAATGATAGCTTTTATGTCAAAAAATTCACATATGAATAAATTGAGTAGCTGTAAGAGTAGTTAATTTATTGAAATGTTCTGCTTCCCATTCTTTTTTTTTTATTTTTTAATGTAAATTCCTGTTAACAATTGTAATGATGTTACTATTATTATGTTAGTCATATAAAGTACATTTATATAATTTACATGACATGCTGTAATATACATGTGTACATTTACATAGGCAATTGTTAGTAAAGCTCTTCATTAGCATATTTTTATTTTGAATATTATTGTTGAAATAAAAAAAAAAATTTTGTGTGTAATGAAAAAGTTTTAATTTTTTTTTTGTATGAATGTCTAATTTTTCATTTTTAACATACAATCAGATTATGAATTATAATATTACAACATGTAACATTTACTGTCATTTAACATATAATTCTCCGTTTTTCTCTTGCGATTTTTGTGAATATTTTTTAGTTAACAATTTTGAAAGGAATTTGAATATTTTGTTTGTAGTACCACAAAGATATTGAAATTTGATTGAAAATAGGTACATACATTTGGTTCAACAACTCTGCCCTACTTCTTTAGGGATTTATTTTAAAAGAATACAAATTATTTGATTACCAGTTTAAAATTTAATTTTAAATTTTAAATTGGAAATCAAATAATATTTCTAATTATTAAGTGAAAAGGCGAACGTATTATGTAATATTCATATTATGGAAAAAGTTTTAATTTCACATTCTACAAGATTTTTTATGTTCTAAAAGAATTTTTAATATAAGCCTTGTTTGTACAAAAAACTCTTTGGGTTTTAAATAATGTGACAAAAAGTAATGAAAATGCCAAGAGTAAATGAGGAAATTTTCGTAGAACTCTTTATACTGTCGTAATAACAATATAAAAATTTACACTAGTTTTAGAAAAATCCTTATATTAGGACTGAATTAAAAAATTTACCTGAAATCAAATGATATACATATTTTATGTATATTGATTTCTTTTTTAGTATTTGCATTTTAACAGCCCAATCGCGTATCTTACTTTTTTATATCACTTTTTATTCATTTTCAAATGAGAATGAAGATTTGTCACTTTCAAAAACAAAGTGAATAAATTTTGTATACATTTTAGAAGAAAACATGGCACGCAATACGGAATAAGTCTTCTCACTCGAAAATTGCATTATGCAAATAAAGTGATATTAGTCACTTTCTCCACACTTGGCGAAAAAAATAGCGATATAGACAATCAGGCCCTAAAATTAAAACATAAGATACATAAATGTGAATAATTTTTTTATTTTCAGCTAATTTGTAAGATAAATCAAAACTTCTTAGTTTCTTATTAAAGGAAAGAAAATTTAATTGGAAATATTCAAACTCAATTATTATGTTTAAAATTATTAATAACTACATAATATGTGCGTATAAATAATTTTTATTAGTTTAAATTTTTAAAGATTTATAAAATTCAGTGGACAATATAAAAGTGGCCCACATAAATTATTTTTAAAATATTAATGAAAAATTCTTCGAATGACATGCTTTAATAAAGGCAACTCGTATTTCTAAAATAAATTAATTGAAAAAGCATCATTACATATACAATAAAAATTTAATATAAAAGGTAATTTTGTTATCCTTTTGTATTTCACATAATTTATGCGAAATAACTTTTATATAGAAAATGATGTTACTATACATTAACGATAATCGCGTTTATAAATAATTTTTTATGAATAAAATTACATGAATCCTGAGAATAATAAATTCCCGATAAATTTTTATAAATATTAATAAATATATTTTATTATTTATTATATTAATAGAGTTATATACATAAAAATATCCAATATATACAAAAAAAAAATTAAAACGATTGAGATGCTCATTTTAAATCATAAAAAGGATAGAGTCTAGAACCTTTAAACAAGACATTAAATTTTATAATATCTTTTGTATGTGAAACCAAGCATTAAAAATAAATTAAAGAAAAATTATATTTTATTTAATTTTTAATAATTCATTTATAGTAGACCCAAGAATGAAAAGAATTTCAAATTAATTTTTGTTCACTTTTATTAATAATGTTTTAAATTTCTTGTTCCATTTGTTATAATGAATAAATTAATGAAGAAAAATCGCAATTCAATTTTATAAGGAAAATTACACAGAGAGAATAAAATTTAGCTTTTTATTAATGCAATTTACAATTTCAAAACTTTTGGTGATAAAATAGTGATGCAGAAAAATTTATTGTTAAATCAAAATAGAATTTAATTCTTAATAGAAAAACTAAATTGCTGTAATTAAACTTTTTTGCACTTTCTCCTGAAATATTATACAGACGGCAGTTCATTTTCGAAAAACTTTAAACAAGAGATCAAAAGAAATTATTTTTTTGCCTCAACGGTTATCCATCCAGACGGAGTTAAAAAAAAATGAGTAACATGCGTTATATATATTTGTTCTTGAAGACTTGATTTTTCAATTTCATTAGCCAATTTTGAGATATGGACGTAAGAAATCTGGTTTTTTAGTGAAATGTTTTGTTCCTATTAGTTTAGAAAGGAGGCCAATCTACGGGCCCATAAAAATTTATGAGTTTTTAAATTCATATTATAACATACAAAGTAAAAAGGCAAATGAATGCAATTTTTTTCCTTACCAAGTTCAATTTCTTACAACTATTCTAAAACATCAAAGTTGAAATTATAGTTCTATAATTGAACCCAATATTTGTAATTATGTATGTATATTAATATGTTAATTAATTTCTGTTACTTATATATTGTTAAATTCGTCTGAGTTCAAATAAATAGTTTTAAAAGATACAATTGAGAAGATGTAAAGCGTTAAATTTATGGAAAAAGCTGACACAAGGATGAGTTTTTTTCTGACAAATTTTATACCTCAACATTTTTGCTTTTATAACGAATAAAAATTGCTCACACACCTAAGTATGTATGTCCGATAGTTCATGAATTTGCTTGTTCGAAATGCAACTCGATTTTAATTTGTTTTGCTTATTAATGATTTGATTGAAACATGTTTCAATATCGAAAACTTTGCTTTTTAGTATTATCATTGGTAGTAAAATCGCACATTTATATATAAAATAGTAAAGTATTTCAAAAATTATATACTTCATAAATTGTACTTACCTATAACCGTTAAATTAATTCTGTGATTTCTCGTTGGTGAATTTTGAAAATCTACACGACATCTGTAAACCTATAAAATTTATACATAGAAAATAGATTAAAAATTTATAAAAAATTGTATAATGAAAAAATGTGAAATAAAAAATTAAAAGATAAAATAATTTTTTTACGTTCTTTATTTTTTATCATAATACTCGTACTGTATTTGTGTGTAATTCTTATATCCCAAATGGTATAATGAAGCTTAACATGAACACTGCCTTTTTTTCAATTTTTTGTTTAACAATTTAATTAAATATTAATTTTGTGGTTGGTGTCATTTATAAATTATGATAATTATGTTAATGTCAGTTAAATTCAAGTAGGACATTATGATATAAATTACTGATAGAAATATTGATATAGTATTATAATATCAGTGCAAAAATTCAGCTGTGGTCAGCATACAATCGACTGCATTGTTTGTTTTCCGCAAAAAAATGTAAATTAAAACAATTTGTTTGTATTAATGGAAAACTTCTAAAGCATAACTAAACTTGATACTTTAAAAACATAAAATTAACTTAGTGCAATTTCATCTTCTGTAATTAAATTTTTCGTTGACAAAACAGAGCTCAAATTTTAAATTTCAAGAAATGGCCATCATTCTATAAGAAAATTCTCTAAAATCTGTAATGTGTTCTGAAAAATAATAGCAATAGTATGTTCGTCAGCCTAAATTGAATCAGCCCTAATTGTAGTTGTTGATTCGTTTTATTTTCGAATATAAATTTTCATACATTCAATCAAAATTGAAATAAAAGTAATGCACAGACACATAGACATGTTGCTAAAAATAAATTACTTAAATAAATGTTAAAAACCCGCAAAATATGAAAAAATTAATCAGTATTTTTTATTATTATTTATTAAACCAGATTATCGTTAAATAATAATGACTATAATATTTTTGAATTTCGTTCGCGACATTATTCATAGAATTTAAAATAAATTCGGTATTGCAGACAAACTTTTTGTAGTATACAATTCAACCTTCGTTTTTATAATGGTAAATAGAAAATTCAAATTAACATCAATTAAATTATCAAATTGTAAAATATGTTAGAATAAAATTTTTGATGAGCGATTGGTTAGTATCGACAATTTTCAAGTTAAATAAATTGTAAAATTTTGGCAAAATACAGTTATAAAATTCATATACTCACTCCTTCATCGTCTAGTTGTACATTATCTACTGCTAAAGTTGCTGGTACAGCATTTGTGTGAAAAAATGCTCTTGGACCAAAAGCATTTACGTCCGACCAATATAAAGCTTTTTCAAATGGTCTACCTCTGACATCAAAACTGAAAGAAAAAAAAACAAAAAATAAAAATTTGATTCGATAAAATTGGAAATTAAGCAGGTTTATTCTAATTATATTATTTTTAATAAATTTTTTTAGTTTTGTAAATTTACTTTCAGATATTAAAAAATTATAAAATTTTAATTAAAATTTTAATTACAATTATTTCCAGCTCGCAAAATTGAATCCTGTAATCCAGGATTTAAATATAGGCAGCTACTCCATGCCGGATCAACTCTTAAATTTAAAAATATTTTGTATTTATCGTTATCTTAAACCATTCTTTCTATTTTCGCGTAATTTATTCTCTAGTTTCTCATATGCTGTAACAAATAGTGTCGCTTTGTAGATACGAATTAATATTAAAATAAAAACTAAATAACATTTTGTGTGCTTGATAAAATATGGTAAATAAATCTCTGTTTCACCACCTTTTCAAATGATTTCAAGATGGAACAAAAATTTTCATTTTTATCGAACAAAGAACTTTATTTTGTTTATTTATCATGATTTTGACAAAAAAGGGCTCATATTACTTTTGAACATTTGGTAACTCAGTTTATTGGAAGAAACTTTTATAGAAATATGTAACACATTGTACTAAGACAACATTTTTTAAAAAACATCAATTAAGTATTTTTTGTTTTCTTGTATCACAAAAAATATTATTCAAATTATATAAATTAAAATGTGATATTTTAAAAACCCACGGCAAAGTCATAGCCGATGGTAAATTTCGAATGCATTGCTGGAATTTTAGTAATCAACAGTTTGATATAAATAGCTAGTTTCAGATATTCAGTACATATGAATGTAATATTAATGTGACGTTTTTTATATATTTTTATTAGTTTAATAAAAATGCATATATTTATACAAAATATATATGTACATACATATAATACATTTGTATTAAAAATTAATAAAACACGATATAATATTTACTTCGGTAATTTTTGTTTTAATGTGACGTTCAAAAGTTGATATATAGCAGCATAATAATATTATATAAAAATTATTTATAATGACATTGTAAAAAATATTCTATATAAAAAACAAGAATGGAAAACAAACAAAACGGAATCATAAAAATGTATAACCAAAGTAGTAAATTTAGCGTTCCAAATTATTTTACCAACGTATTTTGTTTACCTTTTTTCAATAATAAAACAATTTTTTCTATTTTTACTCCAATTTTGCTATCATGAAAATCGTATTATACCATAACTTTTCTTACGAAATTATACGTGATATAAAATATTATTCACTATAATATAAATAAAATATAAATGAGTGTAGGTACCCCAACAAAATTTCTGCTATGTGATTAAAATATCCGACCTTAGACTATAATATTTATAAATGGAAAATTATATAGTTGAATTGGTTATATTTACCATGAAAATTGGTAGTTTTCCAGAAATTTAGATTAGGAAAACAACAAAATATAGAAAAAAATTTATTGATTTTTTAAAAATATATATGTACGTATGTATATAGAATTCTATAAACGAGCCTCCAAATCCACGTCTCCTTTCTGATGGTTATAAAAAAAAATCCGGACTAAAAATCACAATAGTAACTTATCTAAACATATATATTTATGAATAAAATACAAAAGGTAAAATATAAATAGTAAAATGTACGTATGAATATGTATAGCGATCATAAAATTAAAAATAGTAAAAATTTACAATACAAAAAAAAAAAACCTAAATCAAGTGAAATTTCAATCCTCCGGAAAAAAGAAGAAAATATCAAAACTAGGTGAAAATAATACAGAAAAAAAAGGAACAAAATGCAAATAACAAAAATGAAGGTAAAAACAAAAAGCTCAAAAGAAAAAAGGAAATGGAAATGTGAGGAGCCTGGCAGAGAAAGGCGGAGAGGCAGAGTGAGGATAAAGTAACAATAAAAATCAATACAAATTTTTTTTTTTCGGTTTTTAGGTTTTTTATTCCTATATTTTCCTTTTTTCGCATGTTATCCGGTTTAATCCTTTTTTTAAGGCTATTGCCACAGATCACGCCATATCAGGACCAGAAACTTAATTTTTTTTTTGTATTTTTTTTCTTAAATCTAAATACAAATATACAAAAGCGTAATAGAGTAGAAAAATCCGGTTATATATTTAAATATTACCGTTTCACCAGAAACTATATGCTTATGAATGTATGTTTTATATGTATATATAATATGAGTATATATGAATGTGTGTATTTTAAGTTTCTTTTAAAATAATAGTGATTTTATAATATACTTTTATTTGCAAATCTCAACATTTGAATTTTTGAATAACAAATGTTAATATAAATAACTTTTTAAGAATAGAGGTAACGAGCCAAATTGCAAAACAATGTTAGTACAACTTCAAATAACCAATATTACCAGTATTTGCGAAAGACAATAAATAAAAAACTCAAAAATTATTAAAAACTGACTTTCAAAATTCAAAAGAAATACTTATTATTAGACCATTGTAGGTTTATTTGGATCCTAAAATACATTTAACGTTTTGTCTAAAATTTTACTAGTTATTGTAAGTTTGTAAAAATTGTAATATTTTACTGGTTTAAATTAAACAACAACTCATTAATAAGAAGTATACTTTAATTTTAATAAAAAAAAGTCTGGTGTGGTCATCACATTACCGACCAAAAAATGTATTGTTTAGTTCAGGGAAAGTATAGCAGAAGATTATGAAAATGCCTATTAAGAACTTCTTTCTAATTTTAAGAAAGTTATTATTCTTTTAGTTAATATACCTAGAAAAATGTAAATTTGGCTCTTAGTACAGTTCGTCAGTTAGTTTTGGTGACAACCACAACTCACATATTAAATTTAAAGAAATTCCATTTATTAGTTCCGTAGATATGATAAAGAAAGTAAAATCGGCCCATAGTTCGGTTTTCGAGCCTTAATATTTCCAAAAAAAATTATTATCCCTGATATATCCAAAAACTGTTTAAGTGCATGTTTTAAAGCCCCAAGTATACATAATAAATTTCAAGTAAATTGGCTCCTTATAAGCCTCTTTTCTATTACCAAAAATTTAAAAAATGTTTTCCTCTTTTAAAAGGGTCCAGTTCCCGAGGTCTGATGTATCACAAAAAGTTAATTGATAGTGCCAAAATGAACTCACATATACAATTTCATCAAAATCAGATCAGAAGAACTTGAGATCGCTCGTGTACACTTCCCTATTAAGAAGCGCGTTTCCACCGAAATCGATTTATAAAATTTAGCGCTGTTACATTACCTCGCCTATTGTATGTAATACGATCCGTAGTAATGTAGGTTAGCACATGGATATATGTATGTGTATTGTGGTATTGAGTAAAAATTAAAAAATAAGATTAAATTATAAAATTTTAGTAGAAGTATTTCAATTTTTTTTTCATTTATTTATTTCTATAGAATGTTACTGTATGCCTTATATACATTTTTTTAACAATGAATGCAAAAAATATTCTCTAAACATACTACAGACCTGTGTAGGATACGAGTATAATATGTACTCATATGTATGTATAAATATGATTTCACTTCAATCTATTCTTCTCTAATACAACATATTTCACTTAACAATTCTACTGAAGTCTATGTACTTTACGTACATATATTATAGTAGTATAAACACATCTGAATATACATGTCTACATATTATAATACAAAATATAGCATATAAATATTTCTATAGAAGTCTTTATTTCCGAAAGGAATAAAATTGAAAAGGTTTAACCATACGAGAATTAAATAACAAAAATAGAAACAGAAAACAAATTTTCTTCTTTTTTTATTGAAGCAAAAAAAAAACACAACACATCTAAAAATTAACGTTCAACAAAAGTTAGACCTAAATAAACGCGTACAAAAGTACAATAGTTTGCGTTTTTAATCCTTTGAAATTCAATTGTGAATATTTAGTTCACTATTTAAAAGTGTGCCGAGCAAAATATAACAAAAACAAAAAAACTATAAAAGTTAACAATAACCGAGTAAAATATACTGTTAGGTCATTAAAATATTGTAAGAATGAAGAAGGACTAAAACTCTTTATTTATACAAAAAATTCTTACGTGTTTGTATATTGTGGGGTAAAGTTAGAAAATTGTTAAAGGAAATTGTGTTAAAAATAAATTTTTCATTTTTACAATATATTTCTATAGAGATAGTATGTATGTTAACTCAACATATACACAATGTGTATATAAGTATGTTAATGTTTATGTCTTACCTTCATATTTACACAAGAATATGCGAGAAACTTTAAATGTTAATAGAAATTTTAGAAAGAATAATTAGAAATTAGAAAGTTTTTAAATTTTTTTATAATATTTTATAAAAAGAAACGTAAATGTATGTGAAGTGTAATTTTAAATTCACTATTTTCCTGTTTTTTATTATAGCTACTTATATGCCTTAATTTTATATAAAAAAATTTATTAGTCTTTCTTATTAAATTATATTTTGCAAATTAATAAAAAATTATGTATTCAATAAAATAAAATATATAGATATTTTCTTAAATTATTCTGAATTCCGTGATAATAAATAAAGATGACCATGAATTACTCACATAATTTTATTTTAAAATAAAAATCAATGTTTATGTGAGTATAAATTAATAATTATTACAAATACATAAGCATTTGTATGTATATATTATAATGCTCTACTCACTATTGATTTTAAAAATAAATATCTAATATTTTTATAAATTTTGTTGTGCGGACTAATATAGAGTAAATATAAGATTAACTTGTAAATTGGATGATCTCGAATTTAATATTTTTCATTTAATTTAAAAGCAAAAGTAACCTTAACTTAATGAAAATTTCCTCATACAACTGCAGAAGAGATGGATGACGTAATCAATGGAACGAGTTAAAGGCAGCAAAATTAAAAAATTTTTCTTCTCGCACTGGACTCGAACCAATGACCTACCACTTTCTAGGTAGACGCTCTATCAACTGAGCTACAGAGGTATGAAGAAATTGC